GGGTTCAAGCCCCACATTGGGCTCTGTGCTGACAGCTCAGAACCCAGAGGCTGCTTTGGTTCTGTGTCTCCTTCTCTCTCTCTGACCCTCCCCCACTTGTTCTCTCTCTCTCTCTCTCTGTCTCTCTCTTTCTCTCTCTCTCTTTCTCTCTCAAAAATAAATAACACATTAAAAAATAAAAATAAAAAGAATACAAAAACATCTAACACCCCAAAATATAAAGGTACAATGATGTCTAGCACCTAATAAGAAATTGCCAGGTATGCAAAGAAGAAAAATACAAAATGAGAGGAAATCCAACCAATCAAAACCATCTCAGAGCCTCAGCAATAAGACAACAAAAGAATTAAAAGGCATTCAAATTGGCAAGGAAGTCTTCAACTATTTGTAGAAGACATGATACTCCATGTAGAAAACCCAAAAGACTCTACCAAAAAATTGCTAGAACCAATATATGAATTCAGCAAAGTTGCAGGATATATCAATGTACAGAAATCTGTTGCATTTCTATACACCAATAATGAAGCAGCAGAAAAAGAAATCAGGGAATCAATCCCATTTACAATTGCACCAAAAACCATAAGATACCTAGGAACAAACCTAACCAAAGAGGTAAAAGATCTAAACTTTGGAAACTATGAAACCCTTACGACAGAAATTAAAGAGGACACAAAGAAGGGAAAAACATTCCATGCTCATGGACTAGAAGAACAAACTTTGTTAAAATGTCTATACTACCCAAAGCAATCTACACATTTAATGCAATCCCCATCAAAATACCACCAGCATTCTTTCCACAGCTAGAACAAACAATCTTAAAATTTGTATGGAACTACAAAAGACCCCAGATGGCCAAAGTAATCCTTAGAAAAAAAGCAAAGCTTTAGGCATCATGATTCTAGACTTCAAATGATATTACAAAGCTGTAGGCAGCAAGACAGTATGGTACCAGCACAAAAACAGATACGTAGATCAATGGAACAGAATAGAAACCCAGAAATGAGTCCACAACGATATGGTCAACTCATATTTGACACAGCAGGAAAGACTATCCAATGGAAATAAGACAGACTCTTCAACAAATGGTGTTGGGAAAGCTGGACAGCAACATGCAGAAGAATGAAACTGGACCACTTTCTTACACCATACACAAAAATAAATTCAAAATGGATGAAAGACCTAAATGTGAGACAGGAAACCATCAAAATCCTAAAGGCACAGGCAACAATTGGTTTGACCTTGGCCACAGCAACTTCCTACTAGACACATTGCTGGAAGCAAGGGAAACAAAAGCAAATATGAATTATTGGGACTTAATCAAGATTGAAAGCTTCTACACAGCAAAGGAAATAATCAACAAAACAAAAAGGTAGCCTACAGAATGGGAGAAAATATTTGTAAATGACTTATGGGAAAAAGGGTTAGCATCCAAAATCTATAAAGAACTTATCAAACTCAACACCC